GGAGATCTTATAGAAACATATAAGATTATGAAGGGAATAGATAAGGTGGAGGCAGGGAGGTTGTTTCCACTAGCAGGTGAAACTAGGACTAGAGGGCATCGCCTCAAAATAAAGGAAAGCAGATGTAGGACTGAGGTCAGGAGGAACTTCTTCACCCAAAGGGTTGTGAATCTGTGGAATTCCCTGCCCAGTGAAGCGGTTGAAGCTACCTCGCTGAATGTTTTTAAGGCAAGGCTAGATAAATTTTTGAACAGTAAAGGAATTAAGGGTTATGGTGAGTGGGCGGGTAAGTGGAGCTGAGTCTCAAAAAGATCAGCCATGATCTTATTAAATGGCGGGGCAGGATCGAGTGGCCAGATGGCCTACTCCTGCTCCTAGTTCTTATGTTCTTATGTTCTTATGTCAATACATTTTCTTCTTTGTCTGAAAATGTGGCACTTTTTTCCTTTCTCCAGACTGGCACTATTTTTCTGTTCACTTATCTTTCCTTTCACCCTCCTCAAAATCAGTGTTCTCATGTCAAAATGGTTTGGTCTGTCACCTCAGCTTATTGGTTCAAAAACAATGTGATCATGTTTTCACAACACACTGAATTGTTTTGAGACAGTTTCTACTGCAGCAGCTCAGAGTTTTGGATATGCAGTAATACCAACAATAAAATATAAAGGCAGTACTTCAAGTATTGCAGCATACCACTGGCAGCTTGATTGATAATGTTATTGGTCAGAGATAAGCTTTTTTCTCAAACAAGAAATTTTCCAGCTCCGTTTAATATTTGCAAAGTAAGCTGATCTCCATCACAGGAAAAGGAGTATACCAGTCAGCATGCTGAGCTGGTTTCAGTATGCTGTCTAGTTTTGAACTTCCCCACCCTGGGGAAAAGACCTTGTCTATTCACCCTATCCATGCCTCTCATAATTTTATAAACCTTTAAAAGGTCACCCCTCAGCCCCTGACACTCCAGGGAAAATAACCTCAGCCTATTCAGCATCTCCCTATAGGTCAAACCCTCCAACCCTGGCAACATCCTTGTAAATCTTTTCTGAACCCTTTCAAGTTTCACAACATCGAATAATTGTTCAGAACTGCCCGCAGTATTCCAAAACTGGCCTAGCCAATGACCTGTACGGCCACAACATGGCCTCCCAACTCCTATACTCAATGCACTGACCAAAAAAGGTGAGCATTCCAAATGCCCTCATCACTATCCTATCTACCTGTGGATCTACTTTCAGGGAACTATGAACCTGCACTCCAAGGTCTTTTTGTTCAGCAACACTGCCCAGGACTTTGTCATTAAGTGTACAAGTCCTGTCCTGATTTGCCTTTCCAAAATGCAGCACCTCACATTGATCTAATTTAGATTCCATCTGCCTCTCCTCGGCTCATTAGCCTGTCTGATCAAGATTCCCGAATGAAAACACATTAAAGTATTAAATATGTGCAGAGTGTCTTTATTTTCAATTTGTTCATCCCTAACAATTGCCTGCCCATGTTCAGTGAAAAGAATATGAAAAGTTTTGAGATTTCAATCTGGAAAAATGTAGCAATTATATTCTGCTTGATGTGCTGTCTTTGGACAAGAATGTACAGTCTGTCATGCCATCAATGTGAGCAAGCGAGCATCATTTGAAACTGCTTTCACAGGGAGATCTTGATGGCTTGCTCAGAGCCCTGTGATTTTGCCTAACTCCCCTCTGATTGGTTGCTGTGGTCCTGTTAAGCACAGACCCCAGGGCAAGTTCCCCAATTTGTTACAGTTCCAGATAGAATATCCCAAATTGTCAAGCTCCCAGATGTGGAAGGATGGACTGACTCCTCCTTCTTTATTCACTGTCTGAAACAACCACAAGAAAATTCACCAAGGCATGTCATAGAAAAGGTATATTAGGAAGACCTACCTGCTGCTTTTAAATAAATGCTTTGTGAGCAGTTTTCTTAATATAGCTTGCAGTGGTCCTTCAGTGAAGGTCATTTATATTAAATAGCCTTCTAATCTGGTTCTGGAACTAAAACTCAGGTTTTAAGAGGCAAACATAATTTTTGAAACTGTAAAGGAAAGCTGAAGGGCATCTAATCATCTACGGGCACATATTGAAGTGACAGTAGGTGGTGGATGGAATTGGCAGAATAATAACACTATCTGCACAATGGCAAAAGACCTTTCCCAGTTCTATGGTTGGCACTGATTGTATTATTGTGTTGAGCTTCCAGAGCTGGAACAAAGGTGGAAAATGAAAACTCCAGATGCTCGTTGAGGAGCCAAGTGGGAAATCAATATGCGAATAGGGGATGAAGGGGAAGCAATTGTAGAGAGGGCATTGAGTAGAATGACAAAATGTTCCAAGTTAACATGCAACAAGATAAGAGTAAGGCATATTTAGAATCAGGTAGGAAGTTTTTTTGTTGGGTCATGAGGCTCACTCAAAAAAACACGGAGGAGGCCAGAGGGTAGGAGGTTTTAATAATTTCATCTTCAATCTTCAATCACATATTCAATTTGGTCAAGGCTTGAGGCATTGGCCATGGTGCTTTGCAGGTGGCAGAGGTCTGACTGGCAAGTTGAAAAGCAAAACAGACCTGACCCACTTCAAGGGCATCTGAACCTGTGACGTATTACAGCTGGCATCCAATTGCCCATCACCAGGGTCACCGACCAATTGAAAACAGTGGCCTGTTTCCAAGAGATGTCAAGATAATCCAAGGGCCCTCAGTAACCTCAGCTGTTCCAGCGAGAGGGTGGACAATGCTTGGGATGCACATGTAGGACAAGGTCACATTGATACACCTCACAAACTGATAGGTGGGGTTAGAGGTCTCTAAGGCCAATCTGATAGGCTCTAGTGAGGATAGGGAGGACTGGGGTGATGGGGATGTTCCTGAGGGGAAACAGTACTGATGCTGGGTTTGGAGGAAAGAAGACATTGTTTCTGGACTGCTCCTTTGTGAACCAGAGATACTATTAACGCTGCCCATGACCAAAGGACACAAAATGGCCAACAGCTGCCTCTGGTAAGTTCTGCAGGACATAGTGGACAATAGCAGACAGAAGTAAAAGCCTGTTTCAGCATTTAAGTGAGGTCACGAGTTAGCACAATGGTAACTTTGAGAAGAAATTATCTCAAGGTAATAGGGAGTTCTGCACAAACTGCAGCTGCAAAGGTCTGTTACAGTCAGTTTGATAAGTAATACCTAAGAACGGACAGCTTGGAATTTGTAAGAAAAAATAAAGAGAAAATTAAGATCCCATAATAGCAGACACAGATGAATTAATGGGATTATGGCTCATAAAAATCTAGAAGATCAAACAAATTCATTGAGTTGTGAAAGTGATTGAGTTTCAGACTTATCAATCAGAAAGACTCTGACTACAGTTCTTGCTTTCTCTCAATGAGAAAGATGTTGCTTCATTAGGTGAAAAGAGTTAGGCAGGGTAGAGGCAGTAAATCTCATCGCAGAAGACAATATATGATCAGCATGGGTCATGGTGCAGCTGCAAAAATAGCAGATAAGAACATTTCTCAGTAAAATCCGAATGTTCTGAGGAAGGGTCACCAGACCCAAAACGTTAACTCTGTTTTCTCCTTCACAGATGCTGCCAGACCTGCTGAGCTTTTCTAGCAACTTTGTTTTTGTTCAGCATTTCTCAGTAGTTAGTTATTTTTTGAACTATTCACAATATTAAGAGTAGGTTCTAGTCAAAGAATCTTCCAATAATCAGAGAGACAGATTAGTATTTATAGATATACATATATACAAAGTACAAAAATCACTAAAAGCATTAGGAATCAAATAAAAATATGAAAATTAACTAGTCTCAGATAGTAAAGCAGCTCCCTTATTGTTAAAGGGAGGAAACAAATCAGAGGCAAAGGGGACTAGTAGACAGTGGGATGTACATATTGTGAGAGAGATCAGGATAAAGATAGGTGTGCCTGGTACACCCAGTGAGAGATAAATTGCTCACAATTCAATAGCTAAAGAATGCTAACAGTAGAGGTATACATAATGCTTTACATACAACTAACTTTATAATAGAATTAATATTATGAATTTTATAGCAGTTAGTGAGAACAAATTTCTTTTGTATCTCCTGTAATTAGGGCAGTGGGAAATATGAAATGACTAACAGAATTCAAGCAGACCGGGACATATCCGAAAGAGTATAATCGTTAACTTTGGAATGTGAATTAATGGGATGCATTGTAAGAACCCAAGGCCTGATGATTACCATGTCTGATAAACATCATGAGATCATGGGGAACCCAGGGGTGTCCATAAAAGTGTCCATCATTAAGTAGGTGTTTCACAGGATTGAATGTATAGATTAAAGGGGAAGGCACAATGACCCGGTTGTATGTGATTATTGTTAACATGAAAATGTATAAAAATACCGTATCCAATTGGGAAAATCAGAGTGTCATTTACCTGTGTTCCGATCTGAGTCAAAGATTGAGGATGTAATTTAACCCTCACATTGAGGCCAGGTTCAGATTGGTCTTTGGCCTCTCTCTGCAATTGCTCGAATAAGCTACCGCGTGCCTGAATCTTGCTGCCTCCTGAGCCTTTGTCCCTGGTTGAGGGGTTCACTCTTACAGATGCCATGAATGAAGGCCATGCTCCAACATGCTGGGAGACGATTAAGGGGGTGGAGTGGGTTAATCTGTGGTCTCTCACACGTCAAAAACTTTCTGCCTGCTGTTGGTGAAAAGCTGATGGAGGTGGGAAGAGGCCCTTAAAATGGTCACATAAGCAGCTCAGTTAAACTCCAGGTGAGTGAGCAGCCTGCCATATTTGACAGAATGGGAAAGCAACAGGAAGGCATCAGGCCTTCCCATATCATTTCCTGCCTCTGATGGGATCATCCAATCGCCCATAAAATGTCAGCTGTTACGTTAATTTGTTCAAGAATTGTTTCAGTTCTTCATGTCTCAACCAGAAATGAGCTGTGGAATTAGACCATCGGGCCAGCATAGTTTTATAATTCTGTCTTCTCACAGGGGTGACCTTAGGTGCATGCGGACCATGGTTGAATAACTTGCTGAAATTCACTGTACAGATCTGCACATGACAGCCACTTGGCTGTGTGGTGAGTAAACATTCAGAATGCAATCTTAGAAAGTGTGACCAATCACTGAGTGAACACAATGGCCCATGTCTTGTAGCAATAATGCCAGTAAATCTGACAGCATTTATTGCTGCGACTGCACAGGTTAACATGAAAATCCAGAAGTTTCTTCAAGGCAGCCTATTGATGTCTGTTGTGACCAGTCCGTGGGCAGGGTTTCGCATCTTGTCCCAATTTCAGATAAATATCCCCAATTGTTAAGTTCCCAGATTGGGAAGGATGAATTGGTTAACCTTTTTCCTTAACCCCCTACCTCCATTGGTCATGACAAAGTAAATTTGAAAAGGATTTCTTTCCTTGTGGATTCCCTTTACATCAGAGCAATGAAGCTTTGTTTTAAAAGGAGCCAATTTAACCTTGCATTCTCAATTTAACAAAATAATTACTCTATTAGTTACAATACATGAGAACAAATAATAATACAACCCACATACGCACAGATTAGAAATAAGAAGAGAGCCTAAAAAAGATGCAACTTATTTTTTAACAAAATGTACAGATAAGTCATTTGTGAAGAGTAGATAGATGAATGTTAGATCTGTTAGATTCAATGGTCCCAGTAACATTGATGTTGGTGGTTAAACAGTTGATTTTGAGATCTTTGGCTTCTTTCCAGGTTGACTGAAATTCTTTTGTCCTGGTCCCTCTCATTAGTGACTGGCTGGCAGCACTCAGAGCGTAAGTATGTCATTTTTTCTTTTACCTGCAGTGCAGGAGTGTTTAATCGTTGTCCTCAAGCTGTGATCTTTGTTTCATACAAGACCACATGCTAGCATGTCAGGCCATTAACATATGCAGACCAGAGGTTGCAACTAAATTTTAACGCCCTTTTTATTGATGCCCGCACAAAAATGAAGGAAATGGATAGTCAGCCTCTTGCTTTTCATACACTTCTTAGTCTTTCTGTTTGAAGTTTCCTTCAGTCTGTATAGGGTGAATTCCATAGGTCCACACAGGACTCTGCCATGAAAGTCACTGAATTTACACTTGGGGTCATATTTTGGCTGCAGCAATTCTCTCTTTTGTAAGCACATGTTGAAATTAAAATGTCAATATGTCACAGGTACATCAGGATTCTCATGCATTGTCATGACGTGTCCTCGAAGATTGCAATCAAATGAAATTACTGATCTGATGAAAAATTGTCTTTTGCAGTTTTGATCTTGCAGCAAAATCATTTGAAAAAGTTGTACTTTATTGAGTGAGGTTTCAACATTTTTTTTAGGATGATGGAAGACTTTGATGATGGAAGACTTTAACTGTAGTTGAAAATCTCTGGCCTTGTCAGACCTAATTTTTACATTGGCCCAAATTCTCCATTATGGTGAAAAAGACTTTCATGTACTTTCGAAAATTATTTTACCAATACATTTATGATATTTCAGCTCCTATCTAATCCCATGTATGTTCCAATCATTTATGTTGCTCTTTGTGTAAAGTGAATAATAATCAGTGCATATTTTTACTTATCCCTGGGATATTGCTGGCAAGGCCAGAATTTATTTCCCATCCTTAATTATCCTAATACTACATTCTTGCACTGACAATGACGTAACAGCTATACAGTTCCAAGCTAGGGTATTGACTGACTTGATGTGAAGTTGGAGCACATGCTATTGCCATTGGCCTTTAATCTTGTCTTTCTCAGCAGCAGATATTGTAATTTAGAAGCTGCTTTCCATTGACTGTGAAATCAGGGCAAATGCACTGACATGACATTTTAGTGGAAGCATTAATCCAGTTAAAATAGAGGGTTAATAAGGTTTTTAAGATAAAGAAAAATAGAAAGGACTGCAATTTATGTAAAGATCTTAACCTTCCTCAGGACATGGCAAGGTATTTTACAGTCAATCAAGTACCTTACAAAACCACAATCACTATGATCTAGAAGGACAAGAACAGATACTTGGGAAAACTACAATCTGCAAGTTCCCCTCCAAGCCACTCACCATTCTGACTTGGAAATATATCGCCATGCATTCAATGTTGTTTGGTCAAAATCCTGAAACTCCCTCCCTAATGGCATTGTGTGTGAATCAACACCAAATGGACTGCAGCAGTGTAAGAAGGCAGCTTATTACCACCTTCTCAAGAACAGCTAAGTATGGGCAATAAAAGCAGGTCCAGCCAGTAACACGCACATTCATGAGACTATAAGATATTGGAGCAGAATTAGGCCATTTGGCTCATTGAGTCTGCTCTGATGTTTGATCATGCCTGATATACTTCTCAACTCCATTCTCCTACCTTATCGCTGTTACCCTTGATCACCTTACAAATCAAAACTCATCTGTCTCTCTCCTAAAGACACAGAATTACTTAAACCTCCACAGCTCTCTGCAGCAATTAGTTTCACAGATTCTCCATCCTCTGGCTGAAGAAATTCCTCCTCATCTCAGTTCTTAAGTGTCATCCCTTCACTCTGAGGCTGTGCACTTGGGATCTAGTCTCTCCTACCAGTGGAACCAACTTCTTCACGTCCATCCTATCCCAGCCTTTCAGTATCCTGTAAGTTTCAATGAGATGTCCCCTCATCCCTCTAAGATAGATTGAGTACAGACTCAGAGTTCTCACCTGCTCCACATATGACAAGCCCTACATCCTTCATTTTTGTAAACCTCCTCTAGACTGCCTCCACTGCCAGCACATCCTTCCTTAGATATGGGGCCAAAACCTGCTCACAATATTCCAAATGCTGACTGACCAAGGCCTTATACAGCCTCAGCAGTAAATCTCTGCTCTTGTATTCTAGCCCCGCTTGAAATGAATGCCGATATTGCATTTGCCTTCTGAACTGCCAACTGAAACTACATGTTAACCTTAAGAGAATCCTGAACTAGGATTTCCAAGTCCTATGAATTGTTAAAAAAATTAAAACTTTCTGACCTTCATCCTTGATTCCCACACTAAATACCAACATTCCATTTGCCTTTCTAATTACTTGTTGTACCAACATAATAATTTCTTGTGATTAATTTACTGGAACAGCCAGATCCCTACGTATTGCAAATTCCTGCAATCTTTCTCCATTTAAATAATATAAAGCTTTTCTAATCTTCATGCCAGAGTGTCAACTTAGCACTTTTCCATGAAATACTTCATCTGCCAACTTTTTGCCCTCTCTCGTAACTTGTCTATAGTCCTTTACATACTGGCTACACCCTCTTGACCAGTTATTTAATCTATTATTCTGCTGTCACTAGCAAATATTGCAAGCACCATACATTCGGTCTATCCAAACAGGTAATTGGTGAAGATTGCATTAGTTCAGACCCCTATGGCACTCCACCAGTTATGGCTTGCCAACACAAAAAATGCATATTTATCTCTGTTCTCTGCTTCCTGTTAGCTATTTAATCATTTACCTATTCTAATATGTGACCTCCTACACCATGAACTCTTACTTTGTATTATAATATTCGATGTGGCACCTCATCATATACCTTTTGGAAAGTCAAGTACACCACATCCACAGGATCTGGAGTCATGTATTGGTCAGATTGGAAAAGAATGGCAGATTTCCTTCCCTGAAGAATATTAATGATCTAGATGGATTGTTATCACAATCAATGATAGCTTTGTGGTCACCATCACTGAGACTAGCTTTGTATCCTAGATTTTATTAATTAAACTCAGATTCCATCAGCTGCCTTGGTGGGATTTTAACCCAACATAACCCACAGAACATTACCTTCCTCCAGTTGCTGGCTGTCTGGTCCTAGGGGGTTGTCATCCTTTAGTTCTAATAGTTTTCCCATACTTTTTCTCTGCTGATCATTTTATGTTCCTCCCTTCTTCTGGTCTCTTGATTTTCAATTATCTTTGGGAAGGTTTAAGTCTGTCTTAGTGAAGACAACCTCAACTCTGCTATTTCTTTGCTTTCCACTAGCAATTCACCAGTCTCACTCTCCAGAAGACTAACACTATCTTCAGTTACTTATTTCCTATTTAAATGCTTCTAGAAACTCTTACTATATTTTCTTATTACTAGCTAGCATTTCTCATACTCTATTTTCCTCCTTTTTGATTTTAATAATCCTTTGCTGGTTCGCAAAATCTGACCAATCTTCTGACTTGTATTCTGTTTTTTTAAAATTTGATAATATCCTTAACTTTCTTATTTAGCCATGGATGACGCCTTCTTCTCAAAGAATCTTTCTTACTCCCTGGAATAAATATTTCATGAAATGTTTGCTACTGCATTTCTTCTGTCCTTCTTTTCATCCTAGCTTCCCATTTCACTGTAGCTTGCTTTGCCTTTGTGCGTTTATTCAATTTTAAAGCAGGCATTCTAAACCCACTTTTCTCCCCTTCAAATTGAACATGAATTCTTAAAATGCTGTGAGCACTGCATCTGAAGGCTCTTTACCAGGAGGCTATTTACTAATTCTGTTAGATTCCTGAAGAGCTGAACCTTTGATGCTGAGGTTGTATTTATTTCCCCAAGTTGCCCCCAATAGTTGCCATGATGATAAGTAAGCAATGAATGGACAATAAATGGATATTAATATGTATCACTAGCGGGAAAACTGGTTATGGTTCTATAATGAGCAGCATCATAGGAGCAGAGAGGCTGACGTTTCGGGCCTCGACCCT